CCAAGCCTCTCAGGCCGTCAAGAGTTGTCTACTTAAGAGTGCAGACGTTCAATGCTGGTGGATAACTGGCGTGATTGTCGACAAGCGAAGTGGGGAACTGAGCTGAGGCCCAAAGTTAGGCGGGATCGGAATAAGGGGAGCAACAATAAATGGTATATCCGACTCAGGATAGTAGTCGGATAGGGAGAAAGATAGAGAGATAGATAGATAAACAGGACGAGGTATTGATAAGGGTAATAAAAGAGTAGGACGAGAGCGACTGGCAACTGATGATGGAGAAATTCAGAGACTGAAGAGGGGAAAGGTCGTCTTGGACAAGGAGCACCAAGACAGACCAGGACCAAGCTACAGCAGCTAGTCTCCTGCAAGTGCAAGCAATAGGAGCAAGGATCACGCCGAACCAATTCGATGGGAAATCCGGGGCCGACACGAGCAAGCGAGTTGAGATGCTGACTGTGACATTCGGATTGCTTTTTCTGGCCAAGGCCCAACAGCCATGACCTGGGGTTTACAGGGGGTATCCTAATACATCAGCACGCCTGTCTATCCTATTCGTAGACCGAGGCCAGAGACAGAGTTTTGTGACGTTGGCCTCTCAGAAGTCACAGCTGGAAAAACTTAGTAGTCGAACGACAGTATGTCCTATACATACTGTAGTCCGTCCCTCGAGGTAACATACCCAGGCAAAGAAACCCGAGAAACAAGTCCGGGGTAAGCCATCCGGGGCAAAACGCATGGTCGCACAGCATCTCCCATAGGCCGGGGGCGCTGGTCAGGCGGTTGAATCAAGCGTTCTAGGATACAGGGATCAACAAGATGAGCTTGCTTTTTCGTTGGCTGAGACCAGATGGTCGGGCAGAAAGGGGGGGATGGAAAATCAATCAGCAGGGATCACAAGGGAGGAAACCCGAGAGGTTTTGGTCAAACAGAATGGATTCTCATTGAGAAGTGAAGGTGAAGAAGCATCAATGCGGCGGAGGACAGAGTTTGTATCCTGGTCAGATCATATTATGCTATTGACCTGCTCAAAGTAATCAAGAAGTGGAGGTCTACGCATACGACTCAGCTTATAATACTGGTACTTACAGGTAAATACTATGTTTCAAGCAAACATCTCGTGACTGTCGACTCTCCTCCAACCTCGTGACAAAACTATCCCACTAGAGGTATCCCAGCCACAAGCCAGCTCACACAGAGCTACAGTAGCAGTACGGAGTATGACATGGCTCATTACCGTCAATGCTCTAGAACTGCCACCTCCTCTTTTAACTGAAACCACTCCATTGGTATACCTGCAGTCCTGCACCGTGCTCTTCTTCTACTGGACACTCGACTCTGGGGATCGCCTTTGGGGCTTGGCCGGAGGCGGCCGCTGTTTCTGGGGTTAAGATTGAGCAACATGAGAGATCACATCCCCTGGTACCAAGTGCACACGCGTACATACATGTGTGTATTCATGTACTGTGGTATCATTGGGATGTATTTTGGCCATTCTAAGCGGAGAACTTCTTCTGAGATGCGACCTTGCCCAAATCTCACTCCCGATTCGACGTCTGGATGCTGAGCGTTACGACATTCCTGAATCGGATACAACGGCATTACAGCTGTCCAATGCCTTCAGTTCATTTTGTCATGGACTTTCTAGATGCTTCAGTCATCATGAAAAATTTGATTCATCATGCGCCATCCCAACATGTACCCTTTCGCCTGTAGCCTTGTTACCTCACCACCCTGAAACAAACTCCAGCAACTCCAACATGCCTCGCAAAACCAGCTAGCTAATGAGCGTACCGTAACTAATATACATGATGCACCACAAGTCAACCTTAAACTCGGCTTGTGCTAACGTCAAAGATATCATTCTTCCATCCTCCCTGCTCATACTCAAAGAGCTTCTGCTCTGCATCCCTGCCTTCGTCCTCCCACAGCTTGACCAGACTGCCAGGTGCATACCGCCCTTGGAACACGCCTGACCCTGCTTTGACGCCAACGCGGGCGTCGATGTCTGGATCGGGCGCTGGAACGAGACGTGCAGCAACTGCTCGAATGAAAGTCCAGAGGTCCTTTGGATCAGCAATTCGTGTGGCACGGAGACGCTCCCGTGCATAAAGCATTTCACGGTTCAGGAAATGAAGACCTTCAGCAATTGAAGCTGCAATCTTGACCTCGAGAGCCTTGCGCACAATGGGCCGCACCAATGGCTTCAGGATCCAAGCAAGGCAAGCAAATTTGGACTTGCTCAGCGTGTAATTAAGGTGATGGATCCGGACCTTGACATCGCGTAAGGAGACAATCTGTTCCAGTCGATCCTTTCCAATTTCAAGGTCAAGAGTAATATCCACGCCGCGCTTATCGAGATGGAATCCTGCGATACCTTCATCAACCATACGGAAAAGACCAGAGTGTAAGCGGAACCAGTAACCCAGGTCGTCTGCTGCAATAGAGAGGCCAGACACAGTCACTTTCATCATTGATTTCATGGTAGATTGCGTCCCATGGAGTGCCTTTCTCACTTGAACATCGTTGTAGGTTGAGATGTTAAGCTGGAAGGGCAGGAAGGAGCTTGCATTGATGGTGCGACCGGGCTCAAGGATGAGATTCTCTAGCAGAAGATCGATGGCAGGTGCCGATACTTCAACACGTGGAATGGGGATGTACTGAATAGCCTGGATGAGGAGAGGGACAAAGATGTTGATAGTGTCAGTGACCAGGTCGCTATTAGCGTACTCGCCAGCTGGTGACAAGAGGAGAGCAATTCTTTCAGTCGTGTGGATGAGCTTCTTGATATCCTGGTCATCCAAGATTGAGCGGAAAGCAGCATACAGACTCGAAAGCAGGGCGTCCAGATCATCTCGAATTGATGATTTGGCAGTTAGATCATTGGACTTCTTGCGCAATTCCTGGAATCGTTCCTCGATGTTGTCAAAGAAGTCAGGGTCGCTCAGCATATCCTGCACCAGGTTGCCAATTTGTCGCACAAGCTCATCAAAGTTGGGGTCAGTTTGTCCATCATCGACAACAGCTTCGAAAGATTTCTTGACCTCATCCCAATGCTCGCGCTTGCCGAGAGAAGTGATGAACAACCAGAAATTGTGGACTGCTTTGTCGGCCTCTGGGTTGGGCTGGGTGTCCTCCTCAACTGCTTCAACGGTTGCAGCGGCTGCGTGGGAGTAGGCAAGAAGGTAACGTTGAATGAGCAGCGAGATTGTGGAAACCGATTCCTTGTAGTCTGTTCGCTTCCGGAGGTTCATCACAGTTTGCTTGAGGCGCTTCACCAGTGCATCACCTTCGTCGCCCTTCACATGCTCCTTGATGCTCTGTACCGCCCCGTCGGCCACTTCAAGCGCACCATCTTTGACAGTCTCACCGACATCTACAACTTCATTCTTAAGATCTTCGTCGGAAGGTGGAGCAGGCGATTTGCCATTGCCATTTGCATGTTTAAGGGCTTCTTCCTCCTCCTTGGACGGCTGGATGGCCTCGCCAGCTTGTTTGGAGACGTCGGACAAGGTGAAGGCAGTGTCTCGAAGCACCTCTCTTCCAACAGTGCTAAGGTCGGAAAGGAAGATGCGGAAATCGGAGTTGGTTAAGAGAAGCGATCCAACAGTCTGCAAGCTCTTGTAGGTTGCGACAGCATCGGCTCGGACCTTTGCCCTGGCAGCTCGCTGCTCAATATGTGCGACGTCGACATCCAAACGAGCTTTGGTGAGATACCAGATGAAGTCCTGAATCTGGTCCTTACTATTCTTGTGTTGCAATACCTCGATGAACTGTTTGATCCATAGCTTGATGCTTCTGACCAGGGCTCGTCCAGACGGGCTGAGCTCTTGTCGCTCAGGGTTCAAAATCTGCGCTGATAGGAGAGTTCTCAAGTGGATTATGAGCTGTTCGTTTGTTGGCATATATCCTTTAGAGATGGCGCGTAACATTTGATATGTATGGAGCTTCTCATGGAGTCGCGTCTGCAGGCCGGTGTCGTCATTGTAACGCGGCAGCAGAGGTTCGCGCTCTGCGTCCTCGCGATTTTTACCAATGCCAAAGCACGACAGCATTTTGAAAGCTGCAGGCGTAGATTGCCTGATGATAATCTAGAAAGTCGTGCCTTTTTTGTGGTTGCGATGACTTGTCAAAGAAGAGATTCCTGCTTGATCATTTTTATAGCAGACACCCAAGCTAATGATTAAAAGTGACGACGTCATGACTCTGCCGGAGCTTCAGGTCCTAGGCAGGCTAGGCTTACAGGTACAGCTGTAACACCTTGAGACAACCACAACCTTTGTAAATCTTAGGGAGCTACAGCTGTACGAAGCTCAGTGATTGAATGATGAAGTTTATTTCGCAGCCATGATGCCGTTCTTTAGAATTTCGACCTGTCCATGATGAGAGGGGCTTGTAAGGGAATGCATCTGCTAGTGACAAAGGCATTCAACTGGCATCATCCTGCATTTCAGCAATCATCAGCAAGCAATATGTACCGTGAATCACGATTTGCATTTGGGATTCTTGTTCAATGATCGTACTATGGTATTTATTTGCTTGGGAGTGAATTATCACTGGCAGTGCAACTTGTCCAGAGCATTAATGTTACTGACCAGTCGTTCCTTAGGTGTTAACTTCAGTATCCCCATACACTGAAGTAAGAATTCATTTCGTGTAATTTCAACCGCATTGGGCCATATAATTCCCTATAAATTTCACTGCCTTCACGTGTGCTAATGCTCTTATACACCTTTGGTGTTTTTAAAATGAACTTCCGGCGACCGGAGGACAATCGGCGGACCTCGGTATCATCAGCTGGTGTGGGGCCGGGTGTACTTCAGTATCAACACCCGGCTTCTAACACTTCCTCAACGACAAGTACAATACTGCGCAAAGCAAAAAACTCCAACAGCTTAAGAGAAGATATTTGATTACCTGCAGACTTTCTCATTACCTGATTTCGCTGGCTCAATCTTTTAAGACACTACGTTGAAGTTACATGCTCCGAAATTCCAAGCTCAATGAGCACGCCGAAGGAATGGAAGCGACTCTCATTCCAAGAAGCCTTGGAGCTAGCCAGACTTCCGGATGATACATCGTCAACACAACAAGCAATCCAAAGATTCATGAGTCGGCAGCCAGCTTGGACACCCGGACAAGAACTCCCCTGGGATGCTGTTGGGATTCCTCCGCCAAAGATCACAAGGGGAGCTTATGGCGCTGTCGTATATGCTCTATCAGCTCTTGCAGCGACTCGTGTAGTCGAAGAAGAAGACCATGGCAATGTAGACCAGAACAGACGAGGGATCCATGTAAGTTATATCTGTTTATGGGTGAACACAGGCTTATTCTCTTCAGTCCATCCACGCCGTGTTCACCAACCCCGGACTCTCGGATCGCCCTTTCATCCTAGATGTATCCGAAGTCCATTCAAGCCGTTCCTTTTCCACGCGGCTAGTTCACACTCGTCAGCCAACACGACCATCAAGTAACCTATCGGGTCCGTTTCCCGACTCGGACTCCGAAGCACCTCTTGGAAGTCCTTGTCTAACCAGTATCGTCACCTTCAAACGCCCGGTTTCCAGCTCCGATGAGGTCCAAGGGATTCCGCCACAGGAGAGATTCAAAGACATACTCTCATCACGCAAACCTGATCAGTGGAACCCATGTCCACAGGCCGACGTCGATGCTCTAAAAGCAAAGTTCCCAAATGAAGGCCACGGAGCATTCCCTATTCTCGACATGTACAAAGTTGACATGTCGGACTTTAACAAAGACAGGGCTATACCGGACCGGAGAGAACTGATCTACTACCGATTACTAAAACCTCTTCCGAAGCAAGACACGAACGCACACGTCTTGTGTCATGCATTCGAGGCAGACCGCAACAGTCTTTTCATGCTAGGCAACCATCTAGGCTACGGCCACGACCTGGGCATCGCGGCAAGCCTGAGCTATTCGTTCTACGTTCATGTCAACGCCGATGAGGCTGTGATGGAAGGAGACGGATGGTGGATGCAAGAAGCCTCTTGGCCAAGATTCAGTGCTGGTCGAGGCGCAATGGAAAGCCTGATATGGAGTCCTAAAGGCAAGCATGTTGCGACTGGCTACCAGGATGGCATTATACTGCCTATGACGGCCAAACCTAGTAGGGAGACAAAGCTGTAGGATTTGCGATTAACGAGGACATGGCTGGAGTCAGCCATTATTAGCGATATCAAGATTTTGTCATGGAAACACTATAGACGGCACCAAAACTACCTTGAGAAGGTCCAGACTGTTCAGTTGTTGGAAGCCCCGGCATAGCGAAAAACGAGTGATCATTTGTGTCTGACCCTCGATCCCCCGACGTTCACCTGTGGTCGGGACGAGAGGCTCACCGTCGCATCAGATCGTTTCTTCCTCTTGCTTGTGATCACAGTCGAGACGACGAGATCCCCCAGGTGCTCACTTCTCATATTGGTGGATGTATCCAATATATATACTAATACCATAAAACGAGTTCACGCCACGCTATTTGTGACATGGAAATTTAAAGTCTCAATTAAAGTAGAACGAAATATCATTATCAGGCACTTCTGTTGCTTCAGTCTATTTGCTCTTTGCTATATTTAGCGGTTATCTACTCCTTTTGTTGTTCTCGGATGCATATTGCTCAACGTAGATCAAACCCGTAGAACTTGGCCGCACTCTTTAATCTGTCTAAGACTTAATACTTCATCTTCATTAAACTCCACACGGCACCTGGCCAAGTCTTTTATACACGTGAAAGGGAAAGCAGCAGATACACCCAAGTTTACCGTTGCCGACGATTCCTTATATATAAAATAATTACAACCCTATAACAGTGTAATACAATATCAGTATCATACATATAAATATAATTAAGAGCTCTTACTCAGAGGCTTCTAGTCTCGAAACTAAATAGCTTTGATGCGAGCTGGAGACAAATAATTCCTTATATCGTATAGAGTATAACCTCAATAGTTCACGCACCTCTTTAGCTGTCTCTCATTAAGGTCAAGCTACTTACGGTGTTTGCCCAAGATAAGACGAGCATCAAAGGCAGAGCATATCTAACAATCGTCTCCTGTTTGCTGTGGCAGTGACTTGCATTGAGAAGCTCCTTCCCATCAGAATCCTCCAAGTGTGAGATCATCTGAGCACTCATCACATTTGATCTCTCCTTTAATATCCACAACTCTTTCATCTTCTCGCATCAACAGCATCAACAGCATCAAGTCAGAAAAAGATCTCAGCAATCAAACAAGAAAAAGGCTGGAATTACTATTATAAACTCCAACAAACCTCAGAACACAGACATTCACCAGCTAGTGCACTCTCTATTTCGGAGTTCACTGTTCACCACTGCGCGGCGATCTGGTCTATAAGGGAGGCATAAGCATAAAATCAAAGGCTCTGATTCACTGACAGTCGCGCTTGGTCTGCTTGGCATAGGTGCAGATTATGCTGCACCTTCTTCATGCACCACCGAATTTTATTATTTCAAGGAGCACCGCAGAAGATTTTAATCTTCTACAACTTCTTTCTCTTAAACACATCGCGATTTGCATATCACCCAACGCCTCCTATCCAGAAGTAACTTTATCTACGCCTTTCAAAGTAAGTTAAGGATTTAATAATCTCATTTGGCATCTTGATATTCTGGTCTTGACGCTTGTCTCAAGCCTGACAAGAAGTTTCATCTCTTGAACTAGTTCTATTATTTCTATTATCCACTGAACTACTCTTATCTAGTCGTGTTTACTACCTTGGTCTATACTGATTCTCTCCTGCTTGCAGTAACTGCTGTCCTCTTACTACCCTTGACCTTATGTAAGTGTTCGGCCTATTACTTTTTCTGATAGGAGTTGCTAACCCTAGTATTGAGTTCAGACTGCTAGTTGCATAATAAGGAAAGATGGGAGATCAAAGCCTAGCCCAAAGTCACGGGACGGCTGTGCCCTCTGAAGTCGTGACTGAGATGCTTCACACACCCTGGAGTGACGTCTACCGCATCAGCCCAGATGGCCAGAAGTACATTTCACCACAATGCCTTCTTGGCACCCCTGTGCCAAAGATCACCGAAGACAGCGACTACTGGATGCCGAGATGGCGCTCTCTTGAGTCCTACCTAGCACAAGAGGACTCAGAAGAAAAGAGGAAGAGAGATTCAAAGGAACGACTCCGACTCGACCCCCATAACAAAGATCTTGCTAAGACACACAAGCTCCATATGGATAATGTGTCTAAACAGCGCAAGATCCGCGAAATTTTCGGCCATGATTCGCCTTACCATCCGAATCAGCTGGTCTCCAAGCACCACCTACCAACAAATGGACTATGTGAACAGGAACTGATGTATAAGCTTGCTTGCAAGGTGTCTGACTTGCGAGTTCTGCATCATAAAGGGGAACTTGCCATGGATCCCTGGGACTTCCTCCGTTGGCGTATTGCAAAGAAGAAGATACAGTCGAATTTCACAATGTCTGCTCAGAGCGGCAGGGATATAATCAAAAGAATTATATTCAGCATCTGTGAGGACTCGAGTTCAAAGAGCGCCTCTAAGGATTACGAGGACCCCAAGCTGCGCGCTGCTATTATACGCTCAGCTGGCTATCAGGGTCGACTGGCCAGCTTCTGCAAGCCTGGGGACAGAAACAGGATCACCAAGATCAAGACCAAAGCAACCGGTATTGGACGCACCACCCAGCGGCGCTCGAAAGCCGACCCAGTTCCGTCGGCACGCAATCGAGGGCCAGCCCTCAGTCGGTCTGATAAGCGCCAGAAGAGGTCAGCTCAGCCGTCGACATACGGAGGAGTGAACGCTTACCGGGCACAACAACGACAGAGAGATAGCGCAAAGCTCTAAATTCCCATCAGTCTTATCTTTGACCATCACGGGTTAAATGCATACTATCTTGATACCTGGTTCTTGTTCCAGAGGCATTCAGCCTTCTTTCTACCGCATCAGAGAATCTTAAGCCTCAATCGAGGGGCCACTTTCGGAAGATGGAGGACTTGCGAGGCTCTGAGGATGGCAGATGCAAGACAGGATGATGATGGTGGTGGCCAGTGTTATGCCACTGGTCTATTCGTTTGCGCATTGGCATGTTCGGAGTTGGGGAGAGTTTGTACAACAATTTGCTGAGATATGGATATTTTTGGGGGGTGTTGAGCTGCTGCACGCATATTTACATTAATGCTATGCTTGCTTAAATGCTCTAGTGCGTAAATAACTCTAATATAGTCTTTCGTACGACTGGTTTTGACTTTTCGATGAACATCTTGTCAGTGACATGTCAAGGCGACGACTGCTACCAATGTCTGTGTTGCAAGTATGATTCTGTCAGTGAACAACCCACGCCAAAGTCCGGAACTGGTGACTTGGATCAAAATACACAGATTCACTCTCATCCACTTACCAACTCATTCAGGTGTGACAAACAATGGCCATTATTCCCATGAGGTTCTTGTGGAATTCGTGATCGGGTATGTCGGGTACATCGGAATTATGAAGCGATATCTTTCGTAATGTGAGGTTGATCTCTTCATATGATCTCGGGCTCTTATCGAAATACAGTAAGTTACCGATGAATTGTTCACATCTTCTCAAACTCTTTGTTTCTGTTGGTTTTTCATTTCCTGCGCTCAGTTGAACGTGGCTTTCTCCAACCTCCAAATACTCAGTGCATAGATAAATTCCACTTTAATAGCGAGTAAGACTATATCATCGATCGAAAACAAAGCTAACTGACTGAGAATAACAAGAGCACAAGACCCCGATATGAGTACTGCTCACTCGATTGCCAAAGCCAGTAAGGCTCGCTTCTTGAGCCAGTTCCCATGGACCATTTCACCTTTCATCATCGGCGCCCCAATGCGCGTCATGTCAGGGCCTCATCTAGCCCTTGCGGCCTCCAAAGCTGGAGGTCTTGGGTTCATTGGGCCAGGCGCGAAGCCTGAAGATACATCGAAGGACCTAGCTACGGTGAGGGAGTTGCTACGCAGTTCACCTCCACAGACTCTGCCGTCCGCATTTCCATCCAAGAATACCCTTCCCGTTGGTGTTGGCTTTCAGCTCTGGAATGGCGATCTCAAGTCTGCTGTTAATGCTGTGCAAGAACACAAGCCCTGTGCTGCGTGGCTCTTTGCACCGCGTCGAGGACAAGAAGAGCTTGATGAGTGGACGTCTCAGATACGAGAAGTCCATCCGGAGATACAGGTCTGGGTACAAATCGGCACCGTCCAAGAGAGTATTGAAGTAGCCAATAGTGCACATCGCCCAGATGCGTTGGTCATTCAAGGCACAGAAGCGGGCGGCCATGGTCGAGCCACGGACGGTCTGGGCATAATGACACTCTTTCCTGAGATCGCAGACCAAGTCCGTGAGTCGGGCGTGTCTCTATTCGCGGCCGGCGGCATCGCCGATGGTCGAGGCGTCGCAGCAGTCCTCTCACTTGGTGCAACTGGCGTCGTGATGGGCACCCGCTTCCTAGCAGCAACCGAAGCTCGTATCAGCAAAGGCTATCAACAAGAGATTATCCGAGCTAAGGATGGAGCTCAGTGCACCACCAGAACCATGCTCTACAATCATCTCAGGGGCACTATGGGTTGGCCAGAGCAGTATAGCCCACGGGGTATCATCAACCAGAGCTTTCACGATCACCAAGCAGGCGTGGAATTTGAGGAACTAAAGAAGAGGCATGATGAGGCATTGAAGTCTGGGGATAAGGGATGGGGGCCAGAAGGAAGGTTAGCGACGTACGCGGGAGCGGCTGTTGGGCTTATACATGATGTGCAGGATGCTGGTGATATTGTCAAGAGTGTGCAGAAAGAAGCTAAAGAGATTATAGCTGAGCTTGCGAATGATACTATATAACTTGTATCTTACCATCTCTGTCGAGATAGCTGAGAGGCAAAGGATCTCTGCTTTGCAAAACGCAACTTTGGCTACCCAACCTCTCGGTCTATCTGAGCTTGACCAACCACATCTTTCCTTGCTTTAATTGATATAAGATTCATAATCAATTCAGTCTTTGCAGATAAAATACGTTTCATTTATCAAATAATCAATACACCTGAAGGCTTGTTCAATGCCCAACGACACAGCTATCAGGTTGTCTCGGCTGGTTTCTTGCCGCCTCATAAAGAAACATATATGCCTT